TTGTTTTTGAATTGCTAAAATTTTACTAACGATTTTAGATGATAGGCAAAAAGCTAACCCGGACTAAATGATGAATCACGACCTGCAAGGCACGTGGAATATATTAAAATTCCCAGTCTAGGGTTATAACTATTCTGATAGAAATTGAGACGGGTTAAGCAGTCTTCATCTATAATCGTACCTCCGAGTCCCGTATGTTTTCTCCTTTACAGGAAAAGGACCAAATAAGAGGAGTAATCAAGTGCTCAAGGCTTCATACTTCAAAGCTCAAACACTTGGGGGACTATATAATATACATGGACATATGTATAAAGAAGGCAAAGAAGATTGAGAAATAATCAAAGTTCAAGCCTGAAAAGTTTACTCATTGAATGAGTCAAGTGCAGAGCAAAGCTATGAGCTAAAAAGCCAAAGAAAAACCTCATCATAGTTAGGTTAAAGGCAATATACATGTACTGAAATGGGTTATAAATAAAAACCTTGTATTTAATATACATGTATTGAAACCTTGTGTTTTACTTTCTTTTTTGAAAATCTGTTGTAAGGAAAACAGTTACGAAAAAGTTATAGAATTTATTCAAATACATGTAAGATGTTATTTAAAGCTTGACGGAGTTCAAATAAAAACTTTTCAAAGTTATTTCAAGAAACATGTGTATTCCTATTTCTTTTGTCGTACATTACACCATTATGAAGTTGAGACGTCTTCTTCATTAAGTGTCGAATATAAAAGGGCCCTCTTTTATAAAATTTATGATATTCATGAAGTTAAAAAAAAAGCATTTTTGCAAAATAAAAATGCAAGTTATTCAGTAAGTCCTTAAAATATAGAGGCAAGAATAAACAAAATAGAAGTTCAAACAACAACGGAAAACTTCTTAATATTAAAAAAGTTTAGACTAAGTATGAACTTAGTCATAAACCAAAAGTTGTTTATACAAAGCGCCCCAAAAAGGTATGGGGAGTTAACGTTTTCAACAAACCCTTAAAAAGAGCCAAGGGTTACAACCACATACCACCAAACAAAAAAAAAACAAGGGGAGTCACATATCATAAACTTGTCACTAAGGAGCTGAAGAAGGAACTGAAGCAGGGTTATCAGCAGCAGCAAGCTCAACTTGACTTGAAGGAATTGGAACACTCATCGTACCCATATCATCTTCAATATTCTTAGAAGTTTCAGCCACGGGAGAAGGAAAGTCTTGGCTCTGCTGAGTCTTTTCGATGGTTTCTTTTATTTCAGCCAACTCAGCCTCCAAGTTAAAATTCTCTTGGCTAACTTCAACAAGGGTATCATGGCGAGCGTTTAAAAACGCCCAAATCACTTCAATTGCGGTCTTATCTTCAAGAATCTCGTAATCCTTTTCCCACTCAGCAATCTCACTTTTAAGTTTCTCATTCTCAACCAAGACAGAATCATAAGAAATTTGAAGAGAAGCATGTGAACTTTCTAAAAAACGAACCTTACCAGAAGATTCCCGGAGGTCTTCTTGAGTCTGAGTCAAAGTTTGCACAAGTTCACCAGCATAGGCTTCTTTTTTTACTTAAGAGAGCCTTCAACTCTCTGATTTCTTCACTAGCCTTGGAGAGATGCTCGGAAAAGGAAGTTTCGAGAAGATTTTTGTCTTTACTAGCTTGATTTGAGGAAGCTCTTTCAACCGCCAACTCCGAAGTTAAATCTCTCAGCTGCTGTTCTAAGGTGCACTTATTCTCTTCTAACGCTTCCATGTCAATTTGAAGGCTCTCATATTGCTCTCTCCAGTTATCTGCTTCAACTTGGTACTCATGCATCAACTGCTCCGTGTAAGAAACCCTCTTCATCATTTCTGTACCAACGAGGTTGATCTAAAAAAAGAGAAAAGGTGACAGCCTTACAAAAAGGAATAACAAATCATTAAAAAAAGAATACCTTTAATGATGAATGTATTATGTCGTTCATCAAAGTTAAAGAATTGTGGCTCTCAAGCTTGGCCTTCTCGATTGGATCAATTAAGGGTTTCAACCACACGTCAGCCCCACCTGATTTTCTCAAAAGATTACCATCGGCAAGGACCTCGATAATAACCTGTCTCATGGCTCCATCTCTACTTGAGGAACCAACCTCAGTTTGTTGAACAGTTGTATGAGGAACTGTACAAGGAGTCAAAACAGCTGGGGGAGGAACAATAGAAGGAGTCAAAATAGCCGGGGGAGGAGCAGCAACGGTAACAGCCTCAAAAGGCAAAGAAGGTATTGTAGGAACAGATAAAGGAAAAGAAGCAAGGGACGCTTCATCAGAAATTGGTTTTAAACTTTCACTACCAAACCCGCGGATAAAAAGCTGCTCAACAGAATCATGGGCGGCAGCGGGGGTATCATCATCAGGAATCACCAACGAGGCTTCAACAGGCTCGGTGTGAGGAGTAGAACGAGGGGGAGATGCTTCATCATCTGAAATAATTCGTTTTCTAGCCCGTGGCTTTTTTATCAAAGAACCCCCGTCTTGTTCTTCCTCCTCCTCAGAGTCTTGATCGGCAGTAGCTTTCCTTTTCGATGAAGAGACCAAAATTATTTCTTAGGCCCTTTCCAAAGAAATTCGGGAAGCTACGACAGCCTCAGCACTATACCTCGAATGGCAAATCCTGATAAAAAGAAGGATTAAAATAAATTATGGAAGAAGCAATAAGAAAAGTTATAAAAAAGACTCTTACCGTGAGTTTTCACTTTCCAACCAAATTGTTGAGAGAGAGAGTTTTCCAAGATCTACCCTCAATTAGGGCAATATTTAACAACTTTCCTACTCAACCACGAAAATTGGGAATTTCATCGACAATTCGCATGATTGCTAAAAAAAAAGAGAGAAGGAAATTAAAATGACAACCAACAGAACTAAGAAAAAAGGTATGTGAAGGTTATTAAAAAGAAAACTCACGTGCAAAATTCCAATTCTCAGGAGAGGGAACATTTTCATCACCCACTAAACCAACAGTGGGGGCAGCAACAAACCTGACATACCAACCACGGTCCTTATCGTCTTTTGGATTGACCAGAACTCTTTTGCTTCTTGCTAGTAAAGTAAAAACTCCTTGGCGAAAGAGTCTGAGAGAGTAAAGGTGAATTAAATGGGATAAAGTAAATGGCACACCAGCCATGTTGGTTAAGTGTCTCAAACAAGCAACAACCCTCCACACAATAGGGCCAATTTGCCCTAAACAGATGTCGAAAAAACAACAGAATTAGAGGATAACAGGGTCAATAGCAGGTTTGAAACCCAACGTGAAAGGATATGTATAAACAAAAGAAAACCCAATTAAATAAGAGGTGATTCTTTGGTTCGCATTGGGAATTATAATAGGGAAGTCATGGCTCCAATGGCAGTCTTTACGAACTAAAGAAATCAGACCATCGGTAATTTGAGTTGGGTAGATGTCAGCACGATCTAATGAAGACAGTTGGTTTATGATAGATTCTCTATCATTATAAAAAGATAGTTCAACGGGAACAATCTCATCTATAGTAGGTTCACGAAGAGGCTCAGTGGGTTCTTTACCCCTAGATGAAGACCTTTGAGAAAGGGAGTCTCTGGTTCTAGAAGGTGGAGTAGAACTGGACGAAGGTAGAGAAGAACCTCGTGCGGATGAAGACCCTAGATTACGAAGTCTACCTCCCCTCCTGCTCCTAACAGGAGCAAGACGAAGGTTATCAACAATGGGACTCTTCTAGGGTTAGGGTTTGACGAAGACATAATAGTACGAGGAAGAAGGAAACAAGAATTGAATATTTTGAGAACTTTATGTGAGAAACACAAAAGTGAAAACTATATTTCTACTCAGAAGCAACCGTCAAAGGAAAAGCTGTAATAATGGAAACGTCATGATGAGAACTGACATTTCGTAATTGGTGAAGCCGTGAAAAAGCCTTAAAAAACGCCGAAAAGTTGCAGAACCAATCAGAAGATGCCACGTGTAGTGGGCATTAAATAGAAGTGACAAATGAAGCGCCAGTTCCAGAGGAGAACTAATGGCGGCAAATATTCCCGCTTTAATAAAATCCACTTCCCAAATATTCTATTGATGAATACATGGCAAGTGGGGTGACTATCTGTATTGGTAAAAATTAAGTTCATATATATTGAATTTAATGAAAGATGACGTGTCATGACACGTAGACTGGTCAAAGGATGACGATCAGCAAAGAATAGTTAAAGAGGCACGAGATACAACAGACACGAGCAGAGATTCAAGAGACTCGGTACCCGCACCTCTTTATGTTCAAAAGTCAAGATAAGAGAATGAACCTGACAGCAAAAGTAGGAACGGATACAATATTTAATAGGCATTAAATATTGAGAACGTTAGAGAATTTGTATTGAATTACAATGATTATCATTTATAACGTCGCATTAAATACCTTTAATTGTCTATAATGGCCTTATTATGACAAAGACAAAACGTATTACCTAGAAATAACTATAAAAGGGACGACCTGATCATTTGTAAAGACACGAAATACTACTGGAATATACTGATTTACTTCGCTTTCTATTCAACTTTTATTCACAGCCATTATTTTTATTTCCATCTGATTATCAGTAGCCCGAGTTCTTCTAAAATAAGCTTTGGCCGAAATCCCACTTTTTGGTTAAACAATACTTAAATTATTTTTAGTAAAAATATACTAGTACTTTTTTTTAAAAGAATAAAAATAGTGTATTAGTTTTTTTTTTCCCTACCAAAAAAAAAAACTAATACACTATTTTTATTCTTTTAAAAAAAGTACTAGTATATTTTTGCTAAAAATAATTTAACATTAAACAATTTATCTTATTATCAATCAAAAGTTTTATAGCCATTCAAATATTATGATATATTGATATATTTAATACTAGAAATTTTGAATAATTTTTATTTCTTTCTTAAATTGCATGTTAAGTCCAACTATGACAGGTAAATTAAAATGGAGGAGTATATAATTATTTTTAAAAAAAATATAATAAATCGTGGTTTCTTTTTGGTGCTTATCGTGCGGCCCAAACCCCTATTCTCCTATTAGGGCAGGAAAAGAAGACAGCTTACTACAGACCCTTCGGTTAAGACGCAAGAAGAAGAAAAGTTGTATTTTTTGTTCGAAAAAAAGGACAGAGGGTTCCAAATGACCAGCAGAAAGCTTGTGCGGGACTTGTTTATCTCTAAACAGCCTATTTTCCGCCGAATATTAGCACCACAACAGGTACTTGTTGGGGGGGGGGGTGTTGTTGTTTGCTTTCTTGATTGTGAAGCTATTGAATTTGTGTTTAATGGGTTTTGTTTGCTTTTTTAAAAAAGTTTCTTATTTTTTAATTTTTGTGTTTGTACAGGTGGTTTATGGTAGAGTTGCAACAAATTTGAGGTTGGTTGGAGCAGATAGGCATTATCTGGGCATTCGTAATTTTGGTGTATTCAATGAGTTCTCCAAGAAGGTTAAAGGGGAAGTTGATAGGTATTTGCTATTTGCTATCTCGTATTGCTTTTTATTTCAATGCTGTAGCTATTACTTAGTTATCTGTTTTTTAAGTTGAAAGATTGTAGCTTTACCAATTTTTTCTTGGATAATGGTAGTAAAGAAGAAAAAAGGGATTTTGTGCAAGCTGGGAAATTTTAATACTGAGAATTAAGAGCTCCTTTTTTTAAAGGACAGTAGAGTCTGGGTTAGCTTGCACATGGTGGACTAATTCTACCGTGTACCTGCTACCTCCCATTATGGTAGGTGTCGGGTAACTCTGCTTTAGGCAGATTGGAAAAAATCACCTAGTTGTTTCTGTCTCTGTTGAGATCCAACCTGTTCACTTTCCACTTCTTTGACCGCTAGGCCACATCCTTGGGTGCAAATTAGAAGTTCCTTTTTGTAATGATCAATGTTGGGCTTGCTATATCTAGCTCAAAGTCATGGTTGGAGGAGTTGCTATTAGGATATTTCTTGTATAAATCAGACATCATTTCATTAATTCGCTAAGGTGCGCCACAAATATAAAAAAATTGGGGTATGTAGGTACTTTGATATCCCTTAAAGCCTACCCATCTATCTACACAAAGGAATTCTCCACGCCTAACTATATATGGATAAAAGCGAGATATTTATATGTATTAAGTTTGCTTGAATTCATCCTCCAGTTCCTTTGGTTCCAAATGTTCCAGAAAAAGCATAACGGACGCTTGGGTGCAAGCCTCTTTACTCCCCAATTTTCCATCTTTCCGTAGTCTCCAACACTATCTTTGGGGTTCCCGCTGCCCAGTCAACGTTACATTGAGAGAACTCAACTGCCAAATACTATGAAGCTACTCTATAGTGTTACAGCAAGTTAACAACATATGCTCGGAGCCATTGGCACATAATTCTCCAACTTAAAGAAATCTGTTTCTTCTTTATGAGTTTATCTTTGTTAGTGTTGCATTCCCAGTGGCACACCCATGTAAAAGTTGCAACTTTCTTCGGTGCTTTAGTATTAAAATCTCTTTCTACCCTGGCTTCTTATCTCCTCAATTAGGTAGACACAAGGAATAAGAGTTTTATGAAAATATACATGCAGACCCTCTTTATACCATCCTAGCCTTCCCACATTCCTCCTCAGTATAACTGTAAAACATCTTTTTGGACATTTGCACTTCCTCGGATACTCAATCTGAATAGCTCTTCACGAGCTAAACTTCCAGTAATTTCCTTGAATGATTTCTATGATCATGTCAGCTGCAAGCCCACAAGTGCATCCTATCGTTAGCAATAGCTAACACCAACGGACATAGATTGCATCTTAATGCCACATATTCAACCAAACCTAGCCATTTCCAATGGCGAAGCCAGTGAATCTCGTGAAGTCGTCTTTTTTCTTCATAATGCCTGTTTGCATGCGTACTCAGTAAAGGGCTAGTTGCTTCATATGAAAGTCATCCATTCATTTTTTTGATAAGATGCAAACTATCTGAATTAGGTTTACTATCAGGTTCCTGTGCCTTGTCTCTCCCACAAATCCTCATTTCCTCCATCATTTCATCCATGATAAAAGGTCTTGCAAGCGCTTTCCTTTCATCAGAACTAATAGTTCGAAAGGAACTTTATTCAGCTGTGGTTTCAAATCTCTTTCTCAATGTACAAATGCTTGCATTTATAGGATTATTCCTTCTCTAATGTCCCTCTCCTATGAAACTTTGAAGCCATCAATCGTAATCCTTTCAATGTAATTTTATGTCCCACAAGCATCGACTATGTCCCACAAGCATCGACTATTCTATAGAACAATATAGTATTGTTATCTCCTTTTGTCATATTTTACTCCATTTCACTTTTTTGCCATTAGTGATCTTCCTAGCCTTAATCCTCTCTTCAAATTTCATTCATTTCATTTCGTTCCAGGAGTTGCAATTGTTGGACAAATTTTGCTATGCTCGTGCCACTTTATTCATATGGAACACTTTGATGGCAAATTTTTACTCTAAATTTGCTAATGAGTAGTAGTTGATTCTCCTGAACATATTTGGTGCACTGTTTTAAACTTTTGCTGCACTAAAGTCTTTAGAAGATCTGTCGAAATGCAGTATGAGTAACCTGATTCTGAGCATTTCTTTTTTCTTTTCTTTCTTTCCCTTTTTTGGGGTGGGTGGTGTGGGACTATGGGGACATGTTGGTATCTTTAGAAGTGAGAAGGTAGAGAATGCACTTATTTCTCAATGTTATAACTAGTAAAAGTTTAACTGTTTGTGTCGCCCTCTCTATCTTTTTGCGCTAATGCTTTATTGGGGGTGTCATTGGGCTTATTCCTCAATGCTTATGGCTGCAGAAATCAAGAATTCCAACAGTCAGTCAAGGTACTGAAGGAGAAAGCAGAGGAGTTGAAAGGGGTGAAGGAGGATCTTAAAACAAGGTGTCTTTTAGATTCCTGTAAATATATTTTATAGTAGTTTTAGCCTTTTCCTTAAGGGGCTGAGACATACTGTTGTATGTCAAGGCTGGCAGAACTTCCAATGGGGACCCTGAAATGGTGAACTGGCGAATGCAGAACGAAGCAGACAACTGAGCAGCTTTACAAGCATGTGGATGGTGTTTGGACGGAGGCTGAAGCTACGGCAAAAAAGGTAACAGTGCAACCTCCATCTGTCTCTCTGGTGATGGTCTAATATTTGATTGCTGAATCATGAATGAGATTATCCAAAATGAATGCTGCCAAGCATGTGTTTTTCTTTAAGACTGTTTTAGCAGCTGTTCAAGGCTGTGCAAAGCTTATTCTAGGTATTTGGATGGTATCCCAAGTTAACTCTTGTTAATCCGGTGCCCTTTTTTCTGATAAAATATTAAATTTTTTGTTAAGGGGGATCCAGTGAATGCAATAAGTAAAAAAAGCACCTCCGCCTCCCTTTAAAAATGAAGGGAGCTAATGAAGTCCAATCATTACATCTTTTACAAACTTTTAATTGCACCAACAAGTTAGATTAACTAGTCATTTTGCTTTCATTGTATAATGGAGTGTATACACTTTGCGAACATCCTTGATTTCTTTCTCCTTCATTTTGTGATTTTGTCCATATAATACATGCTAGTACAGTTCCCCATATCTTGCGATTGAGCTTCCCTTTTTTTCTCCCTGTCAGCCGCTATAGACTGCTTTTAGAGATTTGTGCATGGCCTCTCTGTTACAAATAATTTGAAAAACATGCCCCACAAAGCCTTTGCAGCCTTCCAGGGAATAAATAGGTGATTCACAATTCCCGCTTCTGTTTTTACACATGTATCATCTCTTACGCATGCTGGATCCTCTTGTATATTGGGTTTTTTCCCTTTTATTCAGTAAAAAGCAAGTTGAAAAGCATGTCCCACAACTCCTTCGCAGCCTTCCAGTGAATAAATAGGCGAGTCGTGAGTCACAATTCCAACGTCTGTTTCACTGATGTATCATCTTTTACACATGCTGGATCCTTTTGTACATGGGTTTTGCCCCTTTTATTTAGCAATATTATTATTTGCAATAAAGTCTTCTACATAGGTTATCCTGTGTCAAGCACCAGGCACTGCTATGCAGCAAAACATGAGACTTCTATATTAGGTTATCCTGTGAAGCTTTTTCCTGTCACTATTCCATCTAATTGTAGCTTCCTCTTGTGTGGTAGCTGAGTTCTTGATATTGATCTTTCAATCTCCGAATCATGAAAGTTTTTTCAAAACTATTAAGTTCTAGTCACTGTCTTTTGAGTTCATGTAATTTATCTTGTAGGTTTTTTCCAATGTGGAGGAAAAAATTTCTGCTACTAAAGAGGAGGTTGGTAAATTTTCACCTAGCTCTTCTTAGCACATTTCCCAATTATGGTCAACTCTTTAAAGAGATGATAGTTAACCCTGATTTGTATTTAGGTCAAAGAAAGTTTTGGGATGGGGAAGCAAGAAGCTCCAGGATCAAGTGGTCATTCACATACTTCTAGTTCAAATACCCATGAGAGTAGTGAGTCTGCATCTGCAAAAAATCAACAGGAACAGCAGCAATCTGGTTCCAGTGATAGTGCAGAATCAGTTTATAGCAAGGTTAAGTCTGCTGCTTCATCCTTATCATCAAAAGTGTCACCAGCCTTCCAGAAAATTAAAGAAGCAAAGCCTATTGACTTAGCCAAGAAGGGATATGGCATCATATTGGATGAGTTGAAAGGTACTCCAGGTAAGAGAAAGCGCCTCGAATATTCTGCTCCCACGCAAGAAACTTCAGCAAACTTTGAGAGAAGCACAAGGACTGATGTTGCTGTCTTACCATCAAAGCAATCGAAATGGAATAAGAAATGGGAGGCATTCAAGGATAAAGTAATTTTCTTACTTATTAGTCCTTGTTGAAATGCAGGTGAACTTGTCTTTTACCTTTTGTAATCCTTATTTTTCCATGAGTTTTTATTATTCTCAGATGCAAGGTCACCCTCTTTTTAAGCGCTTCACTGGCATGAGTGAACCTGTTGTAACAAGAAGCCAGGAGGTACTTTCAGATTCTCAGTAGAATTTTATCTTTTCTGCTGGTAATAATTTTCATTTAATTTTTTCCCTCTGTTATATTTGATCCAATGAGGATATACATGGCTTGATCTGGAATGTGTTTATAGGTGAATATTCTTTAGCACAAAACTTTTAGCTAAGAGCAGAAGTAGTAAATCTGGATTTTATTTAATATGAAGTTATCTCAAATATTTATGTGCCGAATGACAGATTGCAGAAGATATTCGTGAGAGATGGGAAACAAGTGATCATCCCATTGTTCACAAAATCCAAGAGTATGGCTACACATTCAAATTTTAATGCTGTGTTCTGGGTAGAGTTCAATTTAAGATCAGCTTATAATTTCCATGTTAATGTTACAGTTTAAATCAAACTGTGGGGGGAGAATCATCAGCTGCAATGTCATTTAAAGAGATTCGCCGCAGAGATCCGTATGATTACAGCCTTCTTTTGCTTGATTTTCCATTATCATTTTTGGCTTGTTTAAGAAATTTGAAATATGTTTTGTGAAGGTCGTTCTCTTTACCTGAATTTGTTGCTGAGGTTCAAGAAGTGATTCGACCAGTTCTTGAAGCTTTCTTCAAAGTAAGTATGCACAAGTTCATTAAAGCTTATAGACACATCTACACTATATTTTGTGTGGGGGTGAAAATGGGTGAGCAGAACGAAGGGTATGGGTTAGTCATTTGTTTGGTCCACAACTAAGAGAATGGTGCAACCTCTCCACGTCTAGCTTTAAACCCCTCTGAAGTTGGACACAGTGGAGAAAGTATATGTTTTGACAATATAACCTATGGTGTTAGGGGGCCAGGCCGGTCCGGTCCGGGCTAGAGGAATATGAGACTGGCCGGTCTTGGTACCGGTCCGGCTACCGGTTTTAAGTTACCGGTCTTAGCCGGTGAAAAAGTGAACCGGAACGGTACCTGGCCTAATTGGTCGGACGGGTCCTTTTTTTTTTTTGTATTTTGTATAACAATCGTAATTTATATTAAGATAAAGTAAAAATGTAGAACAAAAAGAATGTTTGAATAAAAACTTCAAAGGCTTTAAAGTATTATATTTGAATATTTCATTAAGAATTTAAGATAATACAATGAACATAAAAAAAAATTAACTTATAATTTGCAAGTTCTTTTTTTAATTTAAACTTGCAAATTAAAGTTTACATTTAACAACAACTAAACTAAAGAAAAAAAAGGGTAAATTCAAATTTGATTTATTAAATATAGTCTTCAAACTTCAAAGATTTTGCACTGCCGTAGTAGGTTCTTCATAGTCAATATGAACTTCTTGGCCATCTTCTGGAGTGTTGAATTCAGATGGGTTACCATTTGTTAATATATTTCCAAGTTCCTTGTCTTTTGGTTTATCAACATCTTCACGTCCTTGATTTCTTCGCTTCGCTTCGATCCAATCCAATCTCTGAAACATACTAGAACTTCCAAAGAATTGCTTCCCAATGAGTTACGGGTGTCTTCTAGCTGTTGTCTTACTTGACTAAATGCGCTCTCTGATGCAACGATTGAAATTGACACATTTACATGTCCCGAGCCATTGTCGAAAGAACAGGAAATTGCTTTTCATTTTCATGCCACAATGCCAACAGTGAAAATTCCTTTGTGCAAGGCTCCGTTTGCTTTTGCAAGTAGAATTGAAGTTCATTAATGTTCCTGGAAATGTACACCAAAAATTAAAACCATCAAGGTTTTCATCTTCATCCATAATAGCAGATGTTGAAGTAGAAGTAGTACAATGAAAAGTGGGATTAACATTTCCTACATCATTAGCAGCATTGTCAATTAAATTTGAATAATAATTATATAATTGTTGTAAATAATCATTTAGCTTGTTCATACAAGAATATATATCTGGGGTTTTAGTTGGTCCAATCTCCATATAAGTATATGAAACATTGATTAATTAGCGACAATTAGACATCTTAGTAGAAGGATTTAAAACAAAACCAATTAAGTAAACATGAGGAATTGGAATGAAATATTTTTGAATTTCGCTTGCATTTTTTCAACAGTATCCTTGTATTTTTCTTCTTGAAATCAGAGAGTAGAAGAGAAATTTCAGCTATATGTAATAAAACTATAGTAACAATAGGGTAATAAGCTCCAGAAAATTCAACTGTAGCTATATAAAATTTATGTAAAAAATTAACAACATTATTCTTTACCTCCCAAGTATGAATTATTAACATACATGTTGGATCAGTACAATGCGCATTAGCAACTTCAGTTGTAGGCAATTTATATTTGTAGCAACATCTTAAAAATAAGTATGTATAATTTCACCTAGTGACAATTTTTTTTGAGAATGGTAACAATTATATAAATGTGTAAAAGATTTACAAGAGATTGTGAAGGACACAATCAGACCCTCAAAGGGTCAGAGAGAGTACCAAAGCCTATTCTATTCGATTACATTTCTTCTAGCAAGTCTAATAAAGAGTGTACATCCTCCCTATAACTCTCTTTACACCAAAAATGGAATAACAAAAAACAATTAAGCTTAATTTTCTGGTAAGAGCTAGGTCTATCTTCAAAAATTCTGGCATTCCTTTCTTTCTAGATGGTCCACCAGATACAAGCAGGAACAATTTTCCACCATTTCTTCTGTTTAATATTTGCCCCTCCATTGTTCCAGCTACTGAAAAGAGCTGCAGTGTTTACGGGCATTGACCAAGATATACCAGCCAAATTAAGATAGAAGTGCCACAGTTGGGTAGTGACCGGGCAGTGAATAAAGAGGTGGGAAACTGATTCCCCATCTTTGCCACAAAAACTGCATCTAGCTTGTAGTTGGATTCCTCTCCTAAGGAGGTTATCCTGAGTTAGGACAGCTTCCCTCGCTACTAACCATGTGAAGCATTGAACTTTTGTAGGCACCCCGACCCTCCAAATTTGTTTCCATGGCCAACCTTGTGCAGGATTAGGAGTATTGTTAATGAAATGATAAGCAGATTTCACTGAAAAAGAACCTGATTTGTGACCTTCCCAGATTAAAGCATCTTCCTCTTCTGTGAGACCTTGGAAAGCTTCTATGGTCTCCCAGAAATCTGCCACACTCTGCAACTCCCAGTCATTAAAATTCCTTCTGAAGACAATGTTCCAACCATGTATGGGTTTTGCATCTGCTACTGAAATTCTTTGATTTTCAGCAATGCTATACAACTCTGGAAATTGTTCTTTCATAGGAGTGTGCCCAAACCATGTGTCACACCAGAAAAAAACTCTTCTACCGTTTCCAACCTTGAAACTGGAGTGGTCAGCAATGAAACCCCATTGCCCCTGATTGTTTTCCAGACCCCCACTCCATGAGGGGATGCCACTGGTTTGGTGCACCAATGTCCTCCCCAGCCATACTTCTCTTGAATTACCCTTCTCCATAAAGCTGTTTCCTCCAAGTTATACCTCCATAACCATTTTGCCAGTAGACTATTATTCTGAGCCTTTAGATTTCTGACACCTAGGCCCCCTACTTGCCTCGAGCATAATAGAGTATCCCAATTGACTAAGTGAATAGTCCTTTTCTCACTGTTACCTTGCCAAATGAAATTCCTTCTAAGGGAGTCAATCTTTTTCCTCACCTTAGTAGGAATTGGGAATAAGGACATCACATAGGAAGGCAATGCTCTAAGACACTATTTACCAGAGTCACTCTGCCTCCGAGTGACAGATATTGACTCTTCCATCTTGACAATCTTTTTTCACTCCTTTCAATCACCCCTTGCCATATATCTTGCGACTTATTTTTGTAGCCCAAAGGGAGGCCTAGATATTTGGTAGG